TTGGTTCTTTTACGCTAGACATTCTATGCCATTTTCGAAAACTTTCGGTACCCTTTTAACCAGATTGTATGACACTACAATGCCATCCATGATCTGAGGAAATTGATCAGCACTCTGAGTTGCAGGCCACTTAAATATTCAGCCAATCAAAAGCTTTGTGAAATTCTTGTGATGAATTATGTAATATAATTGTTTCACATTACCATTCCACTGTTATAGGTGTTGTTGATTATAGTTACCATGAATTATGACAGAATCGGACAAAAATTCGACAAAAAACATTAGAAGACAACCTTTTCAGTGCAGTAACCACCATTAAAAAAACAAGAAATGAAGCATCTGACTTTAAGTTAGATTGAGAACCGGATGAGACTATACCAGGATATATGTCCATTTACCAAAGGTTACGGTCAAAACAGACCAATGGTAAAATCCCTTGTTGTTTTGAAAATAACCCTTTACAAATTTCCGTCTGAAGCTTCACAATCTCTTTGGATCTGGTTTAATTAGCAATGTGCAAGAAATGTGTGATTATGTCTCAGAGAATGTTAATGGTACAAGAGTTACCACATTTGAAATATTTCTTATTATTTGAAATTTGTTCGAATGACCCAAACATGATACTAACTACTTAGCTGACCACTTGAATAACTAAATACTGGACACTACTTTGATCTTAATCGACCATATGACGAGCGAGTTTCATGTCCCGTGGGAGAGAGAGGGCATCGTGTCATTGTTTTTAATCTTGTAATAATTTGCCAGATACCCCATAGGGATCACTTTTCAAATTTAAGCTAATAAACGCATTGGTTTTGGTGATGTTACGACATTTCATACAATATAATGGGGGTTACCGCTACCATTTTGAATAAGGGACATTTGCTCGTGTACTGAAAGTCCTTTTTCAGAAAATTCCAGAACTAGATGTCCTCAATAAGAAATGACTTCGGAAATATACAAATTAGATGAGCTCTTATCAATTTGACCCCAATATCGAATTTCGGAAAAAGATTCTTCAGATAAACTCCAAAAATTCTAAGCAAGGATATCTCCAAATCATATTTTGGTGTGTAAAGAACTCAAACGACTTTGAACTACTAAATAACGAACACTTTGAATGGTTACATGATCGGAGTACTTGCTGTGATCAGCATTAAGAAACTCGACAACATATGCACGAGTTTCACGGAGCTTGTGTTTATATAAAAAAAAAAGGGCAAAAATAAAATATTTTAAATAGTAAACATTTTCTGTGATATATTAAAAATCAGGACCGTGGATACATTTCACTTATATTACACATTAATACAGTAAAAAAAATGTGTTTTTAGAGGCAGAAGTTGTTACATCTGTCGAATGCTACCCAATGATACGCTGTCTAATCTTACTACCTCTTCACAGCTCTTCTAAACCATATCATTGTTTGTCACTATTTTATCTCTTTATCTCGTCTAATCTCGTCAGATCTCGACTTTCCAATGATATTGTATTAGATTGTAATGGGGTAATTTGTCGTCGATTACAGCATGTATACCCACTAATTTACTTGTTATTTGTGTGACAACCTCTATTTAACTATTTTGTTCTTCACTCTGGTTCATACTGTCACTCTTTACAATACATACTCCATATATCTTTCTTACCCCCCTCTCGCTTATATCAAACATCAAAGCTGATTCTCGCCGCTTGCGTCCTTAATTAGAATCCAGATAAGTCACCGGCTTGTAGAAATCTCTGCTTGCTGCAATGTTGAATAAAGAAGAGTAAGTGAGGAGTGGGATCAGGGGTCTAATTATTAAAGCGTGGAATGTTAAAGAGATAAAGATCATGTTTATATCAGATTTAAATACAAAACGTTTATTGAGGTCAGGTTCATCCAATGATTTTGTTATCGGGCACATATTTTCTGGTTTCTTGTTCACTTTGAATCTAATTTGGTAATTGGAAAAATAGATTGCTTCCCTGAAACAATTCTGATAACCGACTAATTCCATCAGTGCGAATAAACTCTATACACCATTGCCTCTTCGGATATATCACTTGCCCCTACGAACAATCACATCTGACCTTTTTTTTTAATCTTTTCGGAAAATGTTTTTCGTCTTTCTGAACGTGATATACTAATGAAGACGAGTAACGCCAAGAAGTGCAATGAAGAAGTACAGGGCTGCGACATTAGCCTTCGATTTCCAACTGTCTTTTATCGATCATTAACCTTGCATCGCCTCGGTTTATTGTCCCATCCGAAAGACTAGACGCCTTTTTCATCACTGACAGGGAAACCTATAGTTGAGGGTATACTTCGACCTATTCCGGTGATTGAACCCTGGACAATCGATAGGTGGAAATAGAACATACAAAAATTCTGGAACTATGCCCCTGTCTAAAAAAAAGGTGCTGAATATAGGCGTAAAAAAACATTTCATGTTTTATTCCAGGAAAAATATCAGAATCTAAGGTTTACAGATATATATGAGCGGAAGTATTTTATTTTATCTGACCACCCAAACTCTACCGACTATATGACGCTCCATTATCTTAACAAAATCTAAAGATCTAAGAATCAACTATCAAAGTAAAATATTGCGCTGAAAGTGGTGAGACGGGCCCGAGGCCGCATTTTAACTAATATAAATATCGCTCTTACAGTATCGGCCCTCATCTTCCGCCTATAAAGTAACCTTGTTAAGAAAATATGATATACAGCCTATGTTTTGATTAAAAATCTACTCCGACATCCAACACTTTGTTGTAACAAAACCTGAATTTTAAGGCGTCAGACGTTTTCTGTGGTTGTCTGCAGCATCAAAGTCAAATAACAGACAAAATTTCATTAGATTTAATTTGATTTCATATCTACAGGGAAAATAAACAATATGTTATAAGAATTACTTAGCAATTTCCTGAAGAATTGGAACGAATAAAACTAACTCAAGATGTTTATTAAAATTATTTGAGAATCACCTTTTCCAACAGTGAAGAAACATATTTGGCAAATCATGTTCGAGAGTTGAAGGAACACTAAATGACGGCATTTGGACTTACAAAATCTTATCAACAAAGATTTTAGCGAAGCAGTTACGCAGTTTCTTATGATTTTTGGACTAAGTATTGAAGAACCGAATGACCGATTCCAAATTTGCTTTCGTTAAAGAATACTAAAAATATATATCTGAAATTGAATTATACACCGAAAATGGGAGGATTTCTCCCTTCTCAATTTGTGTACTTGAGTGATACTTCTTGTTAATATTTTGGGAAAATAGGCCAATAAATGAAATCAGATGACGACTATCGATCTAAACTTATCTAACACTATCTGAATATATTATATGAAATCAAAGTTATGCTTTTTATCATTAATATGAGTGACTTGAAACAATTCATAGATTTTATTATCTATCATTTGCCTTCCAGTTAAATCAACCTTTTTTACATAAACAGTCATAATATAACAGTATATCTTTTATATCTTTTATCAAGTCTTCAAATCTAAACTACAGGCCCGGAGCAAAGCTATAATCAGTTCTTTTACCTTCTGGCCAAGACGCCGAATATTTATTTACTCTCTATTTTACATATTTTCAAGATGGTAACATTGTTCTCTTATGTTCGAGAATATTTGTGGTTTTAAATTCGCGAATGACTCCGAAATGAAAGTTCTGACATATTTCTTCTTAAGATACACATAAATGTATGTTATAAAATCAACTAAAATTAACCGGAAGTAAAATAAGGCGCGAAAATTGGGATTACTAATATTATTAATTATCAAATTCCATACAACGGAACGAAACTATGCAACTTGTAGGAATATTTAGAGTAGTTTCGAAAATAATTCTTCAATTGCAGGAAAATCAAATTCATAAACGCATGAAGATGTAGCAAGTGAACGGGGCCATATGAAAAGTTGCAGTCGCCATTGCCTCGGCCAATCACAGGTGTATTAAAGTGGACCTTACATTTTCTATTTGCACTATTCAGATTCATGTCTGCGGTTCTAGTTAAGCTATGACAATATCGCGAATTTAATTCGTCTTGAATACCAATATTAATCAGTGGTTGAAAAAATAAAATTATTAAATTAAATTATATTATCCTTCCCAGCAGAAACTTGATCTTATCGATCTGGGCTCTGGTAATTTGCATGCTAATTGTCAATTTTATGACATTTCGCGACGGATCTGATGAGATGCTTTGAATCACGAGTCGCTCTGGATCCACTTTATAGGTATGGTAGTTTATGCTTTACGAAATTCTACAGTTCTTACAACCATAACTGAAAACGTTTTGAATAAATTCGCAGATTATGGAGAAAATATCTAAATCCACAAAATATAATTCCAGGTGTCCCTAATTAAATATGTCCTTTTCTTTAATCGTCTAAATTTAATTACCTACAACCTAGAAAACATAGTACAACAATAGACTTACAGCAAAAACTGAAGGATTGCCATTGTAGTTTTCATACAAAAGACATTAGTCGCTCGACTTCTTGTATTCTTGTTTCAAGTCTATAGAATATCACGATGTATTTTGGAAGTTTTACACTAGGTTACACACTCAAAAATCATCTTCCACTTGGTTGATTATTGAGTGCTTATATTTAAGAATAGAATTTTGAGTGTCAATAATAGTATTTTTAATTGGGGGTGAGGGTTGTTCTAGTTGGATTTTGGTTTTTATTTCTAACACGGATTTTTTTCAAGATATCCAGGGTTCAGAGTGCTAAAGCTATTTCTTGTTCAGAGTACTAAAGCTATTTCTAATGTCTTTTCTATACAAGGCAGAGTCTCAAGAAAAGACGAGTCTCCTGACACATAAGGATTTGAGAGCCAAATTTCGATGGTGAGCTATGAACACTTAAGTTTATGAAACAAGGATCGCTCCAACTATTGACATAAATATGAATACAATTTTTTTTTTATGGAAAATGAATAGAATTTTACGTTCTACTTTCCTGGCAAATAGATCAAAATAAAATTAAGGAAAATAACTAGTAATAATTTCAATTTATTTTTATATAAACTACAAGTTAAAAGATTTATTGCAATCAGGCAGATTCTTCAAGAAGTTTATAATATTGTTCATGAATAGTCTCTTTAGGTTTTAATATACATCTATCTTTAAGATTCACTACCCAGCCTGCCCTCAGTCCATAGAAAATCTGCTCTGGATCCTTTCTCATCAACAGCATCTCTTTCTCTTCTTCTGATTCAAAATCTTTCAACATATAGCCATATCTCTGAGCTAATATAAGACGATGTTCCAAAACTTGTTCTGGCTTAGCTAGATATCCTCTATTCTCAGCCTTACAGTAGTAGTCTAGGTCATCTTTCGGAGGTACTTTACACACTGGTATTGGGGTACCTCGAGCAAAGAATTTAGCTGGATTACAAACAGCATGTAGACTGGTAGGATCATAATATCTAGTACTGATAATTCCTCCACATTTTTCTATTGCAGCAATACTTACTTCGTCAGCTTTCTGTACCTCTAAATTGATCTTGGCATCAAAATGTTCTGCACCCTACAAATAAAGAATTTTGAATGATGCGTTTGTCTTCATTGCACTCAAATAACAGGGTAGATAACTAGTTCTAATTTTGGCTTCAGACAACAATAATCTCGTACAAGAGATGTCTTCACTGCACTCAAATAACAGAGTAGATAACAACTTCTAATTTTGACTTCAGACAACAATAATCTAGTATAAGGGTTGTCTTCACTGCACTCGAATAACAGGGTAGATAACTAGTTCTAATTTGACTTCAGACAACAATAATTTAATTTAAAAGGAGACAGGTACATAAGCAAATATTAGTGTATAGAGGGTTGAAATTGTAAGAAATCATACCTCATCAGTTAAATGGACTCCAAACTGTTTCCTTTCCCAATCTACTAGTAATAACTTAGTATTACATAATGATGATAAATCTATAGGATGATTTATATCTACTCTATGAAGATCTATCATACGTTGTAGTTGTAATAATGATAATGGCACATATTCTTTTCTCAATCTGAAATGAGACAATATTCAGTGTTCGGATGTACAAAATTTGGTAACTCAATCCCTCTGTGTGAAAACCTTCAGATTTTCACAAAGGAAAAGTAAGCGACAGCTAAGGTTACTCGTAAAAAGCAACAAAATAAATTTAGAATATACTCATGATTTCTGTAGTAGGGTTCTTTAGGTATCTGAAGATAAAAAGGTGTATTTCCGCCCTCAAAACCAAGTCTAGGCAATGTCATTCTCTGGCCTTGACCTTTATGCCCTTTGCCATGAGTTTTTCCACTCTTTCTGTCTCTTCGTCTATTTTTAGGCTGAAAGTAAACAAAAAAAAAAAGAAATCATTTAATGCTAGATGAGACAATTAAGACACTCTCTTTCTAAACTTTTTCAGCATCAGCCATCTCTTGTTTAAATAGAAAACAAAGGCCTTGACACAGACAACTTTTACACTTACTTAAGTCTTAAGAAATTGATATCAGAACTTTATGCCAATGCTATATCAGATGCTGGGGATTGAGCCCTATGTAGGACTATTATCTATAAGTATAGGCTAATCAATGCCAAATTCGATCCTGTAAACTACGTACGTGATTTTGTGATCGAACTGTTGTTTATAAGCTTAGCGTACCGACGCAGCAAGTAAGCCAAGTAAATAGTCAATAAAAGTAAATTACCTTTTTTACATCTTCTGACAGACGCTTCAGATTACCCAAAGTTAATCGTGGTAGTATTTTTACTAAATTTAAAGCTCTATCCCTGATTCCATTCGAAGACATGTTTAATGTTGTACTCTTTCATACTTCTTTTGTGGTATTAGAGAGTGATTGATATAAGGGGCGCAACTCAGTTTAAAACAAAACACAGTTAATTTGTATTCATTTTGCCAGGTATACGACACTGCATTTTGCCTCTCCTGCTTGTGATCAGCATTCTAGAATTGGATAAAAGCTTCTTTGAACTTATTCACGTAGATTTGTAGTTTAATTTTTGTTTTGTTAACATAATAAAACATTTTGTGATCAGTTTACTTCCTCGAACTGTTGAATTTAAAAAGACATATTTCATCAGTTACGTCCCTTGAACTTCTAAAATTCAATAGTAAAGTCCCTATTTTATTTTTTTGCACCTATTCCTTGTGATTTTTGTTTTTACAATGTGTAGCAGCTATGGCGAGTGTGGCGACAGGCTTATTCTTCTGGACACCAGATACCACTTTTCATTACGAAATACTTACTCACTTATGATTGATGTAATCCCCCATCATGTGAAAGTTTATTAACTGCTTAGTTTTGGTTAGTGTTTTGTATTGCGGTTCGGATCGTTATAGCCTAGTGTAGGCTAGACCGTCAAGTTGACTCAAAATATTATTGCCGACTCGACGGTATTGATAGATAGGATGTTTCAGTCTAAGTGTATTCTTGTATAAGCTCGAGAACTTTTAAAATGACTTTGTAAAGTGCTATGTGAATCACAAGATTATCCATAGCAAAAGAATCAAAGGAGGAATTTACTGACCGCAATGGGAATTAGAAAATAAGGTCTGGGCTAGCGTAAAAAAAAAGTAGACAAAGAAGTAGGTAAACAAAATAGTTTATTCAAAATCACCATTAAAAAACAATTAAAGTTAACACACAAAATAGCACATTTTGATAAAATACCGGTAATTTAAAAATGTAAAAATTAAAAAAAAGGTAGTCTTTTAACCGTTTGAAGCACGGTTAAAATTGCGACGAAACTGTAAATTTGGTGGTGAACCATTTAACTTACTTCTTTTTGTACTGAAAATAAAAATTGTAAATTATTAAACTTCTGGACTGAAAATAATTCAATTGAAAATTTAACAGATGACATCATTGACGAACTATGCACTTCTTCGATGGCAGAAGTAGGCCTACAATTTGCAATTTTCATATCGATTACAAACAAAAGTTATTATATCTCTATTGATATTGTATGTTGATTGGTGGATAGAAAATGTTTGGAAACAATTATTTTTCGCGGACAAAAGTAACGTACGTATTAATTCATTTTACACTTTTCCTATGTCCTAACAATTCACAGCCCTAATCCTCTATCCACGAATTGAGGTACGATTCATCCATGTATCCATTGAACAGAAGTACGATTTTCCCTATATTGATGGGTCAATTTACATCTATATGCATCGATCAATAACAAAAGTACAATTTACACCAATATACATCGACTGGTAATAGACATTTAATTAAATCTAATTTAAATTAGACCAAAATTTCGTTCCGTTTTTTTTTTGTTACCTTTTATTTTTAAAATAGCCTCTTCAGTGAAGCTCTTACGACAGCCCTCTTGAACGTCAAATTAACCTTTTGATCTAACCCGACACCGTGTCACAAAATGCAAGCGCTGGAGAGAGTAGAAATTTGATTGGTTAAAACAGGGGTCATATAGTTAGGTCAAAAGATTTTTACAAACGTTCAAGAGGGTTGTCGTTAGACCCAAACTGAAGTAGTACAAGTCAAAGCTTATAAAAAAAAGTTTGGTCTAGTTTTAATTAGACTGTATTTTTTTGGATATCAGATGATAAAAGATATTTTTAGACGACTATATCATATTGTTTTTAGCAGCTGAAAAGAGAATATTCAGACGACGGTATACATTTAAAGCATGAAAAGCAGTGTCTATCAGTGAACAGCACACGGAGGTAAACACACAGAATTGAACAAAGCATTGACGATAAAGGACAATATTAATAACACAACATGTAGAAATAGTGAGAGAAAATAAGCAGCTAAGAATCACGTATATACGATACTAAAATTCAGAAAATGGAAATTATTTTGAAAAACGTAATTTGAACAATGTTTAATCAGAATTCTAAGTTAAAAAACAAAATTATTACTACAACTCTATACTAATGCTAGAATATATAGTAAGACTAGGTACCTATGTTTGTGTTAAAACTCGTCTTATTTCTTATAGACTAGGCGATATTAAGATATAGACATTCTTGAGTTCTTTAAGTACTATGACATCAACTAACCTTTCAGTGTGCCCAGCAACTCCACCTACAAAATAAAATGAAAGCATGTGATAGTTATGATACAATGCAGTGGTTTTCGTCATGATTTTAATGTGAAAAGCTACCAGCACTGCCGGATAAATTTTGAAAAAACCGGAATGTAAATAATGAATCATCTTCATAGTGTCAAGATATTACCAAGTGCGTCTAATTTCTTGACTGCAATAACCACCTTTCTGGTATCATTGAAGCTTCCAAATACAGAAAAGACGCAAGGATGTAAGGCGCAGTCGGTAATAGCTTGACATTGTGCTTTGGTTTCTTCGAATCCACGAACCCAATTTTTACACATTTTTTCAAGAGAAATTATTAATCGTGATAAAATATGCCAAAATTACATTTGCTCGAGAGGTCACTGATATACATCGATGGAAAATACCACTACTGTTTACAGAAGGGAATGGACTAGTCGATGTCTGCAATGGGTATGCTTTAAAATGATTCAGTCAGACGCCAAGGTTATAGTTGAGAACGATAACGATTAAGGGAAATAATCCATAAAACGTTGACAGTATCCAGGATTGCAGGCAGATTACTATACTGATGGTTCAGTGAGTTAGACGCCAAAGTCGCTAAGCTAAATGTTCAGGCTTCCAGCAAGGGTCAGAATGATTCATTACAATTCTTCAACCCTTGTCGATGATGTAGATCAAAAGTTAATACTGTCTAGCAGTTCAGACGCGATCATAGAAATCAAAGCCTTGGGTTCTAAGGGTTATACATTTTAAATAGGTCCCTCGACAAAACATTTGAAATCGGAAAATTGTAGGCAGATGCTATTTTCAATTTCCTTCGTGCAAACTGTTAATTGGCGTTGTCAATCTTTATCGTGCCAGATAAGGAGTAAAACATAAATGTCGTTTCGCAATAAAACGTTGGTTGAAAAGATATAAGCCTCACTTTTCCCGAGAGCTTTGAAAGTGTCATGGTGCTCGATGCAGTATTCAAAGGTCATTGATTAAAGAACACTTGACGAAAGGAATTTCTGCTTAGTGTTAAGTGCAAAAAAAAAACTGCATGTGTTTATTGGTTCAAAATTAACTCATTCGAAACTATTGTGAATGCATTAAAACGCATCATGAATTAAAACACATAAAATTTTGATAACAAATATTTTGTTAAAATGGCGTATGCTCTTGTAAATCAATTTAATCGTTTATGAAGTGAATTTATTCTACTTGATCAAATCAGTTTCTAATGTTATAAATACGTAATAACACCTATCAACATTCATCCACTAATAACAAAAGGTTCGAGTATTGTTTTATATAATATATTTATAGGTCTGGTGTAGTAAATAAGCTATTGTCAATCATGGTTTCTCTAACCTCAATGTTAACCATGCATAAGATAATTGAAATGCTGGTTCTTTGTTGTAAAAGCAACCTACATGAAAGCATATAATACACCAGTCTCCTTTCTGAATTACTTTTTCGGCTCCAGACTGTCCTTGCCTTTTATAACTTCATTTTTTCTGCCATTAAGATTACTTCCTTTTCCTTTCTGATTTACTCTACCTGTTTGACCTTTAGTTTACTTCCATTTCCTTCCTGACTTTCTCTTCCTGTTTGACTTTCAGTTTACTTCCTTTTCCTTTCTGACTTTCTCTTCCTGTTTGACTTTCAGTTTACTTCCATTTTATTTATGATTTTCTCTTCCTGTTTGACCTTTAGTTTACTTCCCTTTCCTTTCTGACTTTCTCTTCCTGTTTGACTTTCAGTTTACTTCCTTTTCCTTTCTGACTTTCTCTTCCTGTTTGACTTTCAGTTTACTTCCATTTTATTTATGATTTTCTATTCCTGTTTGACTTTCAGTTTACTTCCTTTTCCTTTCTGACTTTCTCTTCCTGTTTGACTTTCAGTTTACTTCCATTTTATTTATGATTTTCTATTCCTGTTTGACTTAAAGTTTACTTCCATTTCCTTTCTGACTTTCTCTTCATGTTTGACTTTAAGTTTACTTCATTTTCCTTTATGACTTTCTCTTCCTATTTGACTTTCAGTTTACTTTAATTTCCTTTCTGACTTTCTCTTCCTATTTGACTTTCTGTTTACTCTCCTACATTAACGTCTACTTTCCTTGCTGATTTTCAGACATAAATATACCAAACAAACAATAATAGCAATACTATATATACTTTAATATGGTTTACCTTCAGAAAATCTGTGCTGTCTTTCTTTAACACAACAAGCTCTGCATGCTTGGCGGAATTCTCTCCGAAATGTGCCTAGAATATACACAAATTCATCAACAAAAATCAACTAAAATGTGCATCTAATTGAAGTATCAAGCAGGCCTGTAGATTTTTCGGAGGGGCAAGTAAGATATCCGGAGGAGCAAGTAAGATATCCGAAGGAGCAAGAAAGATATCCGGAGGGGCAAGTAAGATATCCGGAGGAGCAAGTAAGATATCCAGAGGGGCAAGTAAGATATCCAGAGGGGCAAGTAAGATATCCGGAGATTCTAGTAAGATATCCGGAGGGGCAAATAAGATATCAGGAGAGGCAAGTAAGATATCCAAAGGAGCAAGTAAGATATCGGAGGTGTAAGTGAGATATCAGGAGGAGCAATGGGGTGTGTTTTTAGTTTCAGTGATGATATCATTAGGATGTAAGAATTTTGTAGGGGGTGACAATCCACTTCTACGGGCCTAGTATCAAGGGACTTGTATCTAATTGCAAGGTGTAGGGAAATCCACCAAAATGGGAGCTATTGTAAAATTGTAGGTATGTATACATGATCTCTTTAATAAATCTGAAATTATAATTTTTATACCAGTTGCAGATTGGCATCAGCTGTTCAGGTTCAGGCTCAACCATTGAATATTTCAATAAAGAGGTGTGCTTATACCATAATATTGTCTTGCGTTTGCTATCTTGAGTTGTCCTTGGGAACAGTTTTCCGAACCAGTAATAATACACTTTATATAATCTATAGCTTGATTGGTAATGATCCGCCTTAAGGTGAAGACCAAAGCGGAAAGGAAGTCTAAGTAGTTAAATTGAGTTAAACAGATTAATATATTGTTTTCCTTAAAGGATAACTGATTATGTATGAACTTTAATATGATCTGGGAGCAAAATTTTATCGTCCAATCAGAGTTTAATTTGAGAATTCAACCCGATTGACATTGACTGGTAACAAGTGTGCTAATCATTCGATACATTCATGCCGCGTTGTTTTTTTGGGTTTTTTTTCAGAGTTACTCGTAAATATGGGAAAAAATTGTACAAAAAAAGTTGATTTGAAAATTAGAATTTGACTGTGTATTTGACATGCTGCGTTCCCCACCTTTAGTTCGCAATAATGAGACCAAATGAACTGATTTGGTGTCCAATTAGGTGAAAGACCATCGGATTAAGTCACTATTTGAATTGGGAATTAGTGTAATACATGACCCAGACTAAAATAGTTGTAGGGCAGGCCGATATGAATGTGATATAAATATGAACTCTTGTTGTACTTCTAAACATATTCAGTCTGGTTGTACCTTAAACTCGTCACGCATAAGAATGTCCTCAGATCATAGTGATTCATTTTCTTACATTAATTACACCGTGAGCTACTGGAGAATATGTCATCTGATTGTCTGGCATATAACAATCAAGCTAAAATGAGCCCAGATCGATGCCGGTTCAGTCGAAATTAACAGGAGGCTCATATGAAGAGTTATGTTACAAGCATTTTTGCTGTCAGGATAAAACAGTCAAACGGTCGACCTTATCATTTCAATGCATTTTTATTGGTAATCTCTAGGTGCCAGTGGCGTGATGACATTAGATGAAGGGGCTACAAAATTTTCTAGGAGGACAAACGCTATTCTTTCACTATGTTAATTGAAACTGGGAAGGGGTGGGGCAAAGCCGGACAGCATCTTTTCTAGAGGAGGGAAGTGGGGGATAGCCCCTTTTGGAGCGCCATTGCTAAGAGTATATTATATATTCATTAGTGGACGTCATAACTTAACAACAGAATACCTGATCGGATTATAGAGGAATTCTGCTGTACAGTCATGGCACCAGGTGAGTCCGCTGATGAATTTATTGGACAAGATTGAGAATTTAAATTTATATCCATTCTAAGACGTTGCATTCCGTTAACTTTCAGATTAACATTTATTTAGTCTTTTCTTCTGTGACTTATTACTTTCTACATCACAGATGGCAAATGTGATCACTCAACGACAAATTCAAGAGTGAAGAACTTACAGCTCATGAAATTATAAATAGCTGGATTAATGGCACTGTTGAAGTAACACAACCAATGTGCTGATAATACAACCAACTTGAAGGCACCAGGGGAGATGTAGATTCTTACTCCTGTACACCTATAAAAACAAAACATCATTACAGTATTAAAGGCATCTTCACATTGTCAAGCTAATATGAACTTCGTCTTATACCCTGACTGCAAAAGCTATCCTTTCTGTGTCACGGAAGTGTGTATTTGGATTATAGTCAATCAAAGACTGTAAGCAATAAGCCATAACGGTTACAGCCAGTCTGTCGAGGGCCAAGATTGATCGTAATCGCTGGCGTACATTACGATCGAATGGCTGCTATCGAACGAGAAATGTGGCTGTGGCGAACATTTTGAGTTTTTGATGTCTATCTTGAAGATAATGCTTGCTTTGAGCTAAAAAAAAAATAAGGTCTTAACCCACTAAGAAGTTGTTGGAAATCGCAATTAAATTTTAAGCTTTTCTTTACGCTATCATTTTGAAAGATGTATTAGGATAACGGAAATGTCAAAATTCATTCTTTATGAATTTTTTCTTTATGCCTAGAAGAAGCGAGAAAAACTAGAAATGACATTTACATAATACATTACATAGAGAAAACATGTTTGGTCTCTTTCATCTGAAATCGCTATCATTGATTCGTCTTTGATGTCGTATTCAGAGATCGAAAATACAATAGGACTTACTTTAAAATGAATAACATATATACAGGTAAATAGCAAATAGCAAATATGAGAACAACAACGATCAACATTCTTGCTTTTTGCTTTCGTATCCTAAGTTGAGCTCGTGGAATACTTGCAACTGCTGAAATATAACAAAAATATATTCAAATTAGAGCCTAACGATTATAATGTTGAAAGACCAACTTCCTAGGTTTTATTCTGGTCGATTGGCGATTCTTAGCATTTCATCTGAGCTTTTATGGCAAGCCAAAACCAAAATATTCACTGGACATGAAATCACCTTGTCTGTGTGACCTTTTTATGTCAGAACGTTATATTCTCACTTGAAACCTATTATTTCCATTTTTGAAAAAATAAATCATAATTATTTTAGTCACGTAATTTTTATCACACCAGGAGCAAATTTCATTATCCACTAAAAAAATGTCATAGAAATATCTATTTAAGATAATATTCATCACACCAGGAACAAATTTAACTATAAAGAAGAAATTATTATTCATATCCTGCAAATAGTTCCGCTTTGGCTTTCTATAGTCAATGGTAACAGCTCGGATTGGTGATCAGATTCAGTTGTAGCTTGAAATTAGAATCGGTGTAGCTATATAATTGTGGACTCAAGCCGACTATATCGAGCGACTTGGCACAATTGTTCTCACTGCAGACCATAAGGTCGACGTTGAAAAACCAGCGAAAAATCCTTTTTGTGCTGATTGTCATTTTCATTACAGGTAATTAGATGCAATAACATTGCTCATATACCTTATAGACTTTTTTGTTTTACATGTATTTGGTTTTGTATGTGAAAAACCTCATAATAACTTTTTAAAACCTAAGGACATATTCTTAACACCAAATCATTTTCTTTTATCAGAAGAGCTTAGACTGGTGTTAATATCGCTGGGGAATCGTTTGAAGCAAAAAAAAAAACAACAGTTAGAGTCTTTTATCTTTGATATGACAAGGTATCTAAAAGCCAATTACCGTAATTACCTGATTCGATGTTTTCAGAAGAGGCACTTCTCCATAAACAACAAGCCACTTTAGTGTAAGCGAATGTCATAATGCCGAGTGGTATAACGTAAAATACGCTGAACATGAATAACAAATTTATTTTTTCTTGAAACTCATTCCACCCCGGTTGACAAATCACTACATTTCCTGAAGGTGTATACACATTTATTGTAGTCATAACTACTAAATCGGGGATAGCGGCCCCTAACGACAAAATCCATATTATGACCATTATTCTACGTGATCTCAAAGATGTTTGCCGGAACCACAATGGTCTGCAGATGGCCATCCATCTTTCTAGAGAGATAGCTGTTAATGTCAACACCGACACGAATACTGACACTTTCTGAAAGTAAAAAAAAGTTGATTTCAGTAGAATCTGATTGATATGATTTCTGGTGGAATTGTTATCAAAGTTGAATTGGCTACGGAATATAACGCCATGCTGTGTGGGTAATTTTGGTAGGATAGCCCATTTCATTTCGATCCACAACTGTGGAGGATATTAATGTGTAAAAATGGGAAAAATCAAGGCCAGTAGTTTGGCCAAAGATCAGCTAGTAGAAAGATCCACGTGAACAGGAGTTGTTTCGTTCGGGGGGCGGGTCAAAATCTTAGTTCTGAAACACTGTAAAAGCAACTTTTCATTGTCACCGAGGCACTCCCTCTACTACCACATCAAACTAAAAGGATTAAATATTTCAAATTGCTTTTTTAACAAACAGCGGGCTGTGAATCCACCGCTGATATTGTAAATGCTACTAAATAAAACTGTCTGTGACATTTGCTAGGTCTCTGAGGTGGTACTAGTTACCTAGGTTACTTCAAAAATTTAAGAGCCATTGAATTTCAAAAAACAATTTTGTATAGCGGCTAATTTTTGTTCTGAACGGCATCATTCTTCACCAAAAACCTAGTTTTTACCAGAACAATGGCTACAAATGATGTCGCTGTTACGACTCTTGCAATATCTTTTCGATTACATATTTTTTCCTGCAATCCTGCCGTTCGAGGCCTGTTCGCTCACTGTACATAAATAACGCTATATTCAAACAATGCACGCCACAGCATTTACATAGGTAAAGTGTTGTTTAAGGTGTTCATTGTCGCACCGTCGTCAGTGTTTTTGCCTAATTCACTCACATGCGTTTTGACATAACATAACATGGTACGCAACCTTCCTACACTGCTTACGCTACTTCACCAAGACTTTAAATATCTGCATGATGACCTAATGAATTTAATCAAATGGTCGATTTTCATTAATTATTCAAATGGTTTTACGGACATTTTCCTATTGAGTTAGCTGATCAATTAGGTTAAGTCTAGGACATAATTAAAAGAAAATATTTTGCTTTATCATTTGGAGATCACTTCATCGATCAAGATAAAGATAGATCAAGTGACAGCACAGAATATAGGTTACTAATGGACATTTCGTGCTCTGAACGCTGCAGCCAATCAATTTATGTTTGATGTGTTGCCCACCATTTCAAGCATGCGTTGACTTTTGTTTAATGTTAAAATAGTTTTCAAAAAAAGTTTTCTGGCTTTTCTTTATGTGTATTATTTAAGGCTTCTATTTGCATCAGATCAATTTTTTTGTCAGATGTCTGCGATGACGTCACTATCGCAAAAACTTTCCGTATATTTTTAGTGTCAAATTAAGCAAAATATTTGATAAATTGGTATTTTTATTGAATTATATTGAGTTTTAACATATCATAGTTGTTCATGTATGAGAGTTTGGAGAAACAAAATAAGCTTTTTTGACCATTCTTGATCGGTCACTCATTGGAATTCTGCTGGTAATTCTCTTCTAAATTAGCTAATTATAAATTATGATGGACAGGTGAGACAAACTGGTATTTTTGCAAGTCATAAGAACACCTCTACTTTCTATTCATATAAATATTAGCATTTTCATTTTCATAAATAAAAATAAGGGAACCCGTCTTTAATGTCTAAGGGCCTTTGCGATAGCTGCGTCATAAAACGTCTAGTTTAGAGGTCTGACTGAGAATAGAAATGATGCAAATCGATGCTATCAGTGTCCTCAATACATGTCAGAATTTTAGAAAACCTCTTAACAATCCCTTAAGATGATTTCGTCGATAAATACAATTTTACATTGCAGCTTTCTTTGTTAATTTGTACGTAATTTATAGCTGTTTCTCGAAATAACTAGTATAAAGTAGTACTATTAAATAATCTATGGCGGAAACTACTCATCACCAAGAGAAATATTTATCCGTTATCACTCTTTAAATAGTCGATGTCGTGCTTGTCGCTACTAATTACGTCTTTATTACACAAGATATCCAGGTCAAATTCTGCTACATCATCAAATTATAGTTATTTTTATACGCCCACATGAAATGAAAATCATAAATAAAAATTCATGACTTGTTACCATCAGAACGAGTTTGAGGTTTAGTGCGGAAGCCACGAAGGCACGATTCTTAACTGATCACCGATATTACTGTTCTAAAGAACCTGGGCAATAACTCATAACATAATTTTCATTTTCCTGTGGAAATAAATGAGTTATGGTCCATGTTCGTTAACTTATTCTCTCTATAATCCTTACCGAAAATTTAAAAATAATATCTAAAAAAATCTTATGGGTTATTGCCCTTGTTCTTCAATCTTATTTATCTGAAAGCAATTTGGGTAATTTTTGTATCTAGTATTAAACGTTTTTGACAGTAAATCAGAGATTTTGGCGAACCCATTCTGATTTCTGTACAAAGAATGTGTAAAATCAATATGTTCTGCTCTCTATTTGCTCATTTTGATCTTTTCCGTCGATCTCTGGAAAAACAGGGTTTTTTTATGAAAGATCGTCAATCTGAAAGGATACGTTCTTAACAGTGTGATTGAGATTCCGGCAGAATATTGTCTCATCCTGTCATATTAAAGTGGATAAAAAGTTAAAATCGTAAAGAAATGCAGAACTTAAGTAGCGCCAATATTACTACAGAAGAGAAAAAGTGGAATTTCAACCTTTCAGTTCCGTGTATTAGTTATTATAACATCAATCGTGGTTAACATCAATCAATGTCGGACACGACAATCCAATTACACTACATAACATGCTACTTATAAATACCAAGTTGTCAGAATGCACGAAATTAATTTTAAGTTTTTTCTATGAGGAGGACATCCTCAAACCCTATGGCATGACTTGTCCCTTTTGGAATCCATCAATTGACCACCTATAGAGTCAGTCTGCCCCTTATTTGTACCCGTACTTCCAGGGGTACTTCTCGTGCCGCCACTGTAAACTCGTCCAATATTTTACACAACATAATTACTTAATCATTAGATTTTTTCAGATGAAAATATTAAGAGCATGTTTAAAACTGATTATGTAGAACGTAACCTCTCTGTTTCTTAAACAGGTTAGAATCTAATTTCCTGTCGATAAGCCGACCTACGTTTATGATTCAGTAAGTCTCGGCAATAACTGTCAAACTATTCCTCTTTCTGACAAAAACCATTCCCATTTTTCTACTTCAATTTCTTGAATATTAGAATTCTTATCCCATGAATATTTTTTTAATAAATCCTAGTTTCTATAATACGTAATTGGAATATCATTTTTGCGCTGGTTGACGGGGTCAGCTGACGATTGCCAACAGATTGCCGCGCTCAAGCGTTATAAACACACGCAGAGAAGCGCGACCTTTTTTAATTTTTGATTGTCTGTGTTCTTGTGATTGGTTGAAACGCCGGCGTTTGCAAATTCACGTCGTAAAAGTTCAATATAGTTGAACTTTTGAAAATGTTACGCCGACTTCCGCCATTATACGGCGAGTACTCGCTAGTACAAACCTATGCGCTGACGAACGCTGGCAATCGCCGACTTTCGCGTAGGCCTATATTATGGCAGTTGACGGCGTCAGAAATATAAATCCACCTTAACATAGCCAATGGGTGATCACTTTGAAATGAATTTATATAATATTTATAACAAAATTAGGAATTTCGTGTTTTTGAACACTTTATTTTTATGACCAGGAACGTGTTAAAACCGAAAAGTTTTTCTGTGGTAAGTCCATTTGACAATGTTCTGCAGTCTAATTAAAATTAGACCAAACTTTCGTTCCGTTTTTTTTATTACCTTAAATTTTTAAAATAGTCACAGTGGCTATACTAAAAATAAAAGCTAATGAAAAAGCGGAACGAAAGTTTGGTCTAATTTTAATTAGACTGCAATGTTCCGAAGACGTAAAAACTGATGTAAAAAATTGCTCACTTAATTCTGAATGCCCACTCTCTCTCTGTGTGACGTTTTCCTATTGATCTAATCAAGCGAAGATTTAGAAAATATTTTTCTTTCATCACATCATTACACGATATCTACATGTTCATCTTATACCTTGACTCCATTAGCTTCCTTTGTTGTATCACAGAATGCAGCGACTCGTGGTCTCTGATTGGTTGTATTCACTTGTGTACAATCAAATCGCTTCATTACAAACGTCTGTGACACGGGAACGTGGCTATTACAGTCAAGGTATAAAACGTTCGTAATAGCTTGACATTGTGAAGATGTACCCAGTGATTGGCTAACTTTTGAAATGATTAAAACAATCTGGTTAAAAATAGCTTAAGATAAACGAAAAGAAATATCTATTTTTATTAGAATTACCTCCCTTGAAGATATGAATTGTTACATATCCGCTAATGGTCTTATTCAAGTTATTTTTTAGGGCCTCCAACTGAACCTTTGTACATCTATATGTATCGGGGAAACTTAAAGATTGTAATTGTTTTTTTCCGTTTTACGTCTGTGTTTCCTGAAATGTCAGAAAAATGTGGGTAGATTATAACACCACTTTCGCAAATACCATTGAAGCCAAGGGCCATATAACTTGTTCAAAGAGTTTCATCAGTTCTATATAGATACGCTAGAAGTCCCGTTTAATGTTAAATTAAAATTAAAAGTCAGAAGTTCGAAGTCCTACTTTTTGTACCCTGACTGGGTTAATGAGGACGGATTACGCCATGCGACTGTGTATAGATGAGTGAAATTCTGCATGGCCAGCGGTATTAGGCCATTTGGTTTCGCGCAGATACGTCTTGACATCACTGACAGAGAGTACCGGGCCTAAAAAAAACACAGGTATGAACGGCCTTTGTTATGAACGAACTCTGAATAGGAAACTTAACGAGTAAGTGGTTTATTCACTCAGCCACTGCGGCCTCCAAAGAACAAGGGCCGCTCTATCGTAATGGATGTGTCACTGATGTATGTCCAAACGTAAAGATCTTCATAAATATATTGTCTATGGTCTTGTCATTCCCGTATGAATTTGTTACAGTTGACACTTGTCGTTT